GTGGTTTACCTTTAGGATGTGCCAGCTAGCTGATGTTTGCTAATTTGTAGTATTCTAACCGAAATGTCGTTGCACTTCTATTCACCAAACAAAATAAGTCACAGTAGACCATTTTAACCAATAGTCTGCAAGATGGACTAGAGATGACAAAGATTGCTAGTATGTTTATCGATGACCTCCATCATCATTAACTCACTGTTTTGCGGACGAGTATGTGGTTGCGCGTTCAAAGTCTCTACAACCAGAGGGCAAAACCATTTCGTTCTTAGAAGCCAATCAGGTTGCTGTATTTCCATTTTAATGCAAAGTTATCACCTCTCTATGAGTAAACGTTATGAAGTTACGTAGACGTAATGACTGCTGAGACATGGCTATGGACCTTATAGCCAAAACTGCCTCAGGGAAAAAGTAGTTCTCTTAACTGTTCCCAATCCTTCTGATTAATCCGAATCCTAACGTCCCGCGCTTTGTATTTTTGAAGTTCTGGTCTCCACTTGCTGACATCACGTCAGACAACGCCGAGGCCAGCATAGTAATGTCAACATAATAAACGCTCCGGACCAACTATTCACTCCCTACAGTAGTTGCGACAAGGGTCTTCTTATAAACAGAGGCACATGTAACTGCAAACATCAACACTGGTCAAAAACTGTGTGGGTCTTACCCATAAAAAATAGACGTCGTATGACCGCAAGCGTAAGTCCTAAATAATATTTCCTCATTCCAGTCACAAACTACTCCTGCTACGATAAAGAAAGGAGGATATTAACTAGGGACACGGCTATACCGAACTTGATGAGGTCCATTTTGCAAGCCAAAAGTAGACGGGTTCGACTGAGGTCCATTTTGCAAGCCAAAAGTAGACGGGTTCGACTGCTCTTGTTAGATGTTAAATACAAACAATAGCAATCTTGACAAGGCTTACAATCAGAGCGGAGTCAACAACTGCTTGGGTGGTGGACCAACGGCGGGCGGTGGAGGTATGTAGTCGGAGGAGGTGATCTGCTCCACCCACGATAAGAAGCTGCAGATCGAATTCGTTGGGCTTGGTGCTGGCACCCTCGCCACTAGCTGCACCTCCAATTCCCACCTCTGAAGGCTGTGGTGCACGCCGACGAGCAGCAATGAGGGAGTCGCGGAACCGAGAGGCCTCCTGTGCACCCCCAAAGCGCGAACAGCCCCCCACAAGGAGAAGAAGTGAGCAACGACGACCAATTGCAGCCAGCACCTCCAGCTGATGTGCCGGCAAAGTAAGGGGCATGCCCAGACAAATGAGACCACTGAGCCAGGGACGCGATGGAGCGGGACTTTCTAGGCCTAACGGGCGACCACAGAGGACTTTCTCGAGTCCGCCGTTGTTATAGGAAGCAGGCAGTTGCAGGGCTGCTGTGATCATCAAAGGGCAGGTTATGCCGAAGCCCACTAGGTAGAGGGGCACAGGGCGATTCTGGTCCATCTGCATTAAATATTAATGG